TGCGCAAATCACCGTGGATCCCAATTGTCACCAAGTTACTAGCCTCAATCATACCCCGACGTCTGACGCCGTTTATGAAGACAAACATCCGCGAACAATCTGGATTTGGACTAGGCCGCAGTCACTCCACATGAAGTCCTCAAGCTACGTCGTCATCGGCCAACAGTTGTTGTGTTCCTTGACTTATAAGGAGCTTTCGACTCAGTTGACCGTGAATCCCATATGGGTTTGCTCCTTCTCAAAAGAATGCCACAGAAGTACGTAACATGCTGAATTCACTCTGCTCACATACATCTGGTAGCGTAGGTGTGTATGATGAGCTGAGTAGGTCGTTCGTAGCTAGCACCGATGTTCGTCAAGGGTGCCCTCTTTCGCTATTCCTATTCAATTTCGTCATAGTCGAAATACTAGAGAACACACTAAGTGGTCTCTAAAACGTAAGTATTGAATAGACAACTTGAGAAAAGTTGTGCGACCTAGGGTACGCTGACGACATCGTTTGTCTGTTCGAATGTATGGAGGATGCACAAAGAGCACTTGACAAATTAGTTCTGTCGCTCCACTCGGCATGTGTTTTGCGCCTTCAAAGTGCAAACTGATGCTGCAAGACTGGATGTCGCTGAGTCGCGACTTGAAACTAGGCGGTAAGGAATTAGCTGAATGTTACAGTTACAATTAAGCTAACCCGTAGTTAGCCCGGAGGACAAGACACAGAACACGTATAGTCCAGAGCACGTCGCTTTACTGAATGAATCATGCGTCACATGATAACCTACAATGGGACCATGACTAACGGGTCAACCAATAGGAATGAGTCGTGGTGTCTGTGTGCGTGTGCGAGCGCCCGCGCGTGTGCATGTGTATGTGGATGAAGTAAACACTGGTCTTCGTCTGAGAGATAAGCACCGGCGAGTGGGACGGAGAATTGATTGATGGCATAATTGACGTTGGCACATGTCACATTCCTTTCCCCTTTATGTGATTAGACCTTATCCTGCCTGATATCTGTCCATTGGCTTGGATTCTCTGCTTGATCGGCGAAGAGTTTGTTTAGGTGCTGAGTCCTCATGGTGGGATTTAGAATGATTCTCAATGACAGGAGTCATTTCGTATGGTTTATCCTCGGGTACATGTCTGGTACGAACTCGGTCGTTATGGCTTGTCACTATTCTTCCATCCGAAAGCTCGATTCCACTTTGCTGGCCGTTATTGTACCTCACTACACCCGGCTCCCAAGAAGGCTCATGTGGTAATTTCGTGTACACTAGGTTGTCTTCTTCGAATTTCCTGTGTTTGGCTGAATCGTCATATCTATCTTTCATTTTTCCCTGTTTTTCCATGATATCAGCTCTTGGTTCTCGGAAAACGAGACTCCGTCTCGTTCGTAGTTTACGTCCAAACATTAGTGCTGCCTGACTTTTTCCCGTGCTTTCTGTTGGGGTTGTACGATATGACAATAAGAACCTCGCCAATTGGGTCCTTATTGTTCCAGATTGTTGTTTCAATAAACCTTGTTTGACAGTTTAAACGACTCGTTCCGCCAGCCCATTGGAGGCTGGGTGGTAAAGGGCAGTTCTGACATGACGTATGCCATTTCTCTGGACGAATTGTCTAAACTCTTCGCTGGTAAACGGAGTACCGTTATCGGTCACCATAGTCTGTGGAATACCAAATGTGCTGAATGATGTACGCAGGCAATTTACTGTAGTCGCCGAACTGGCGTGGGACACAGGATAAATTTCGATCCACTTTGAATGTGCATCAATCATCAGTAAGAACATGCAGCTGTCGAGCGGACCAAAATAATCTACATGAATCCGCTGCCACGGTTTTTCGGGCCA